AATTTTAAATTTAAACATTTGATGTTAAATTTTAATAATATATAAAATTTAAATTAATTTAATAAACTTTTAATTTTACAATTTCAATTTTATCTCACCAAAATCATTTTACTTAAATTCTCGATTTTGGACAACCTTGATCACTATCACATTGCAGAAAAAGCAATGTAAACCTCCACTAACCTAGGCCCCACCTCAACCGCTAGCTAGTTTAAATATTCATTCTTCTCATTATGAATGAACAAAGTTCTACTCTACAAGTTGGTCTTTTTTATTTATAGATTTTTAGTTTACAATTATAATTTAAATTATACAATAATAGACTCTATTTGAAAAGCCAAATTTAACCATTCAACCCCTCACTGTTCCATTGCTGAACCAGCCAGCCAGCCTTGACTAGATATTTTAAAGATTCAATTCTATCTTCCAACCTTCGTGAATCGACCCAAAATTTAGCGATTGAAACATTTTTATGCATGATAAATTAAAGAAATTACTATTTTTTTAATTTTAATTTTTAATTTTAAAGAGTTTCATGTTATAGATCTAAAATTTAATGGGGTTTTCTAAAATTTAGAACATCTTAATGCATGACTAATTAAAAAAATTCCGTCCACCAGGAGTATTAGCGCATCATCAGGATAGGGGCTTGGGGTTTATCTTTATCCTCTTCTCTGCAAATTTGTAATAATATTAAAATAAATAAATAAATAAAGGAACTGGGTCTATTAATAAAATGAAAATGAAATTAAAATTAAAATTTGAATTTAAATTTGAAATTGAAATTATTTCAAGCAAGACTAGGATTTATTTTTTTCTTAGTCATATCTTAAAAAGACACTTTTTTTTTTCGTGGAACAACTGAACCAGTTAATTAGTTTGAAATCTCTTCGGAGGCGGATAATAAGAGAAATAAGGATTTGCATCATAACCATACATATACGAAGAAGTATCTTTTTTTCAATAATTTAATTAATTACTTTCTAAGTTAACTAAAAAATAGATATTATTTTAATTTTTAATTAATTAATAATTTAACCGTTTGTTTCGTTGAATCTTTTAACCTAACCATTATGACTTCTTCAGGGAGTCAGGGAGACTCTAAACACAGATTGAAATTCCCTTCTTTCTCTTGTGGGCTGCCAGTCAAAGATGCGATTGCAGTTTCATGGCAAGGCTCAAACTTAGGTGACACTGTTGGGTTTTGATCCTCTGGATGCACGAGAAAAGAAACTTACTTTCCTCTTTCTTTTTTCGCTATCAAAATTTTGATTTTGGAGATACTCTTGATTGTTCAATTTCTAAGTCTGAAGTCTGAACATTCAATCCGTCACTGTCACATTGCAGAAGAAGGAAGCTAGCCTAGACTAACCCAGGCCCCACGTCGATCGCTAGCTAGTTTAAAGATTCAATCTTCTTATTCTGAATGAACATAGTTATAATCTATAAGTTTGGGAACAATGGATGGCAGAGGCAGATCACTCGTCCTTCTCTGTCTTTCATGTTTGCTGATTCCTGCCTGCTCTACGACTAACACTTTAGAGCGAGGCGAACAGCTCAGATATGGGGAGCTGCTGAACTCATCAAACGGTCTCTTCACATTAGGATTCTTACGGTTTAACGAAGCTTCAGATAAATCTTTCTTAGGAATTTGGTATAATGGTTACATCTCCAATTCTGAAGTTGACGTACGTCACGAACCAGTTTGGATTGCAAACCGGAACAACCCAATCTTCAACGGTTCTGGAATTCTCTCGGTCAACCACAATGGATGCCTGCAGATTTTATCTGGGGAGAGAGAGTTCATTGCCTTGTATTCAACTAGAGATGCAATTCAGGCTCGTGCCACCCTACGGAGCGATGGCAACTTTGTACTGCAGCAGCTGAATTCGGATGGATCTGTGAAGGGGGATTTATGGCAGAGTTTTGATTATCCAACGGACACTCTTCTCCCGGGCATGAAACTAGGATTTAACATGAAAACTAGGTTGAATTGGACTTTAACGTCAATGAGAAGTCACAACTCACCTGCCTCAGGCTCTTTTACACTGGGAGTGGATCCCAACGACACAAAACAACTGGTCATATTGCGGCGAGATGATGTATACTGGAGAAGTGGACCTTGGCAACGTAGCAGCTCTGGCTTTCCACACTTAGAGTCCTTTCAGGGTTTGGGCTACTACTTTAGCTTCACTCAAAATAGGTATGAAACGTACTTCAATGTCACTGCAGACCACGCACTGGTCGTTTTCCTAAAACTAAGAAAGAAGGATCTGCACTCGTATGATGTGCTCGCGATTTATACTGATGGAACCCGGCAAAGTTTAGTTTCATGTACTAATCAACACAATTCATTCATTACGGTCGGATGCACAAAGCAAAACCTTCCTGAGTGCAGGCATACTATGCTTGATTACGATTACATCTCCTCGGACGACATTTCAATGTCCAGCCCTGGATACAGATTCAGCGATAGTGAAAACCTGACTCTTGAAGATTGTAAAGTCAAATGCTTGCTAAACTGTTCGTGTTTGGCCTTTGCTGCCACGAATGATGAGGATGACACTGGCTGTGAAATTTGGGTATCGAGGGCATTTTCGGAACAAACGTATAATGGTCGCACGATATACATGCTTCCTTCCAAAGGTATGTTTGCTTCATTGTTAGGGTTTACAAAGTAATTAACCTACCGATAAAATTCCTTCTTGATTAATTGCATTAAGATTTTTGTGCTAGTAAGTATGTTTGTCTATCAATTGTAGGGAATAAATGGTGGCTATGGCTAACCATTGTAGTTGGAGGAATGATGATCATACCAACTCTGTTCTCTGTCTGCTACATCATATGGAAAAATTTCACATTAAATGGTTTGTCTCTCTGCAACGTATATGTGTGTTTATTGTTTCTATCATCCTTAAACTCTAAAATGATCCTTTTAATTTGATCAGGGGATGAAAACATTAATCAAAGGACACTAATAAAAGAATTGGAAGGCAGTGATGCGCCTTCCATCTCATTTGGAAAGCCAAAACGTCATAAGAAGGATAGAAATGAACTCCATGTCTTCAGCTTTGAAAGCATTGTCTCTGCTA